ATTTCCCAAACGTCATAAACGTGAATGGACGGAAATGAAAATAAACCCACAGGGAAAACAAGTTCAAATGTTAGTATAACAACTTCCCCGAAAGAAAATGCAGTAAAATCAAGTCATATTTGAGCATTCTTTTCAAGTATTGATTTGAAAAGAGTCAAAAACGAATAAATTACACATAAAATGACAGCAATACAATAAACGTTCAGAATACGTATAAACTTATCTCCAACAACTCAACTATGATCGCTTCCTATTTATGAGAATTTTGGCAATATACCTTTATTCTCCTCTCAGATTGTGGGAGGAGAATAATACATTCAAGTATGTGCTTACAGTAGGTAAAAGTATTAATAATAGTAGCTCTCATATTGAGAGAAATAATGACAATGTTGATGGCAATAATGCTGTAATAACAAAAACATAATAATGTTTAAATACAGTTGAAGAAACCTTTAAGTAGGTCTGGGTAAGTTAGTAACTTCTGTTTTAAATGTTACGAAATCACGATGTGTCAAAGTAGCTCATTGTGTTACAGTAAAAACTAACGTAATCAATCCCTTTGGAAAACAAATAGTACCTGATTGATAATCTTGAGTCAAACAACGTTGAGCTCTACTAACATACCTACCTCTGGCATAAGTTTCATGTTTTTTTGTTGTTTTTTTTGGTTGTTATTTTTTTGCCAGAAAACATCAACAGTTCAACCGAGTTTTGAAGTTCGTGAAATCTCTCAGAAAATCTGGCCAGCTCTAGAAACCCATCAGCCCATTCCTCTCATTAGCAGAGAGTGAGGAGAGGTAAATGAAGTTAGACAGAGAAGGAAACGTTAATGTGCAGCTTTGTTATTCTCATTAAAGCACCTGGATTAGCTTGGAATTGATGAATGTTAGAGTGAGGTTCCAGCAAGACAGAAACATCCGTCACTGAGCTCCTGTGTTGGAAGCAATGATTGAAGGCTCAAATGTAGCTGAATTTGGTTTATATGCCTTCACTTTATATTACAATCAATGGATTTTGTCATGTTGTGTTACGGTCCTTAAATTTCTCGCGTTTCCATTCATACTTCTGATGTGTTTGCAAAATGAAGAACATACATTTTGAATTCTACATTTGGTGATCACTGTTGGATTTTTAGACGGGTCGTGTTTCATACTGGAACTTGAATGGTGTTTGTGGTTTAACTTTCCATAAATGTTTAGTTAGAAACTTGGGAGACCATTCATCACAAGTTACTTACACAAGTTGACATGTCAATACAACTTATGCCTATTGATGCATTTTTGGTACATACCAGGAATCATTTTGAAGACACTTTTCTGCAGTAGTGATCAGAGTCACTACTCTGATGGTTAGGCTCTCCCTGCCCCCAGAAATGCATTTAATAGTTCAATCACCAAACTTACCGTAATATGTATTAAGACACACTGTGGAAACCATCTTTGCACTACTGCAAAAGCAAACACCTAGTTTTTCTTATTTCTGCTTGTGGGGGTGCAGCCAATCAACCGCAAGGAAAATGAATGGGCAGAGGCTCCCATGCATTTGTTGTCAGATTTAACCTAAGATTGTTTATTTGAATGTAGGACTTGTAACGAATAAATTTAGTATGGAACCTCGATTTGTGGTTCGAGGAAAATCAATGGGTAGATTTTCCATAAGTTTTTCTATCCTACACTATAAACCCAAGTCTTTTCTAGAACCAGGTTCTATAGCATACGGCTATGTTTTTATTTGTTTCATGTTCTGCATTCAAGTAAATAATCTGTACTTAACTTTGTCTGATGACACATAATCTGTTCAAATAGTCTCTTTTCTTACCTCAAAAACACACTTGTCTAAATACGAAGACGAGAATTTCATTTTGTGAGACATTAAGCTATGAAATATGTGTATTACCTTATTATGCAGCCTGGTTTTGCATAGCGCCTACGTACTGGGTTGAAGGCTGTCTAAAAGATTATACTTTCAGACATGGTGAGGATTCATTTTCCTGCAATCAGCTTTCTTTAATTAGTGACTTCTGAAGCCCTAAAGAAATACAACATGAAAAATTTGCAATGCAATTATAGAAAACCACTGAGCACAACTGCTGCTGACTTGTATACAAGCTGGCACTTCAGACAGTGCAGAGTAATTTGCTTCTTTTATTACAAGGCCACAACAAAGGTTTACATTTGCATACAAAGAAGTGCTCATTAAGTCCAACGGCAGTGATTAAGTGAATAAAAAGCAGAAACAGCTGTTTTGTTAGCAGGAGCTAATAAACGCGGCTATGAGAACCATCCAGCACAGATGCAGCCTATAATCTGTGACAATGCCGTTTCAGTCCGTAGCCCCCGCAGCAGGTTGTCAGTGGTGTCTGAATATCCACAGAACATAATCACGACGTCTGGATGATGTTCTGTCGATTTAAATATCAAGTCTGTCAATACCCAGGTGAGCACTACTATAAGATCGTTACCAGCTTGAAAAGATCCCTATTTTTTTTACAGTTTCTCTCTCCGTTATGGCCAGCAAATTACTTTAGTTTCAAATATTAAGAGCTTGTATGTTCAGTTTGAGAGCAGGATTTCATAACTTAGTAATGTTGTAACTCAAAATGTCTGCCGCCTTTCATCCCCTCCATGACCACAGTTATCATCTATTCAGGCAGCTGAAAAGAAAATCTTACTGAAACTCCACAACATACACTTATGTACAGGTGTATAATTATCGTATTCAAATTAAAATATGAATAATAACCATTGAAGTAACAGCAGCCTTCCTATTGAGGTTGCATACATGTGACTGTTCCAAAGTTATCCAGATAAAAAGGTTGTGTGTAATAGACACATCGCATGCCGCCGCAGTGGAACGAAACTGTTGACAAAATGAAACTTGGAGATGAAGGTGTCATTGATGTGGTGCCGTGCACCACAGCAAAGGGAAAATAACGCCAAAAAAAACCATTAAAAATCAACTCCAAACCACTCATGGTCCTCTGTTTTCTCACTGTCGGCTACCCTACACGCAGACCTGATGCCATAGCGATGGACTGACAACAGCTCCGCTGGTACGTCAGGATTCAGCACACGAAGGAGGGAACATTCAGTTTGCTGTGGTGTCATGTCTTCAGGGTCGATGTTTATTTTGTGATTATTAATAAGCTGCGGTCGATTAGCTCATTTAGACTCCTGATCTACTGATGGTCTGTCAGAGACCCGTGTGCGTCTCGCCTTTTTTTCTGTTTTAACTGAACCAAAATACTGAATCCTGCAGCACATCTACATGTTGGCATAGTCAAAGTCAAGCTAGCCTTACTAACATCCTTCCCTCTCTCTCTCTAGTTTTTTATTTTTGTTTTTATTCAAACTTTTAGCTGACTTTTGAAACGTGACCTTGCCATCTATAGCTGGCAATTAGTAGCAAACCGCTGCATCCTTTTTTCTTTTATGTATCTCGCTACATTTAAGATTTAGCGCATTATGTTGACAACTTGACAGCTAAAACCAATGGTAGCCATGGTCGGTAGCGGCAGTATCTTTGCTCTCCGGCAGGATGATGAAGGGCAGATCCAGAGCATCACATTGCAACAAGTCTGTAAAACCTAATGAGGAAATTAAAGACTTAAAGTTTCGTTCTAAAATTTCCTTAGACAGTTCAGTTGTATTTCATTCTCATTTTTCAAGTTAAAAATAAAAGTTTCTGGGAAGCGGCGTTCCATAAAATAAACAGATGGAGCTGACAGTGGCGACCACACGCACAATATTTCATCTTTTCTTTTTCTTTGCATCACATATCACATATTGGTCTCCCGGCTTCACGTTCTCGTTCTGTTATTGAGCTGCCAATAATCAAAAGCAGGAAACGTGGCTGGCGTATCGGCGCCGTCCTGAACCGTGTCATCAGCTGTCCCACTGTTCATGTGGGCCGAATGAGATTTCAATCAGAATTCAAGCTGACGTCTGAATTCCCATTTATCATCATGAAGCGAGTGCTGGCACAGCTAATCTTTATTTTCACTTCTGTCCGTCCTGTTGTGAGTGTGTGTGTGTGTGTGTGTGTGTGTGTGTGTGTGTGTGTGTGTGTGTGTGTGTGTGTAGGGGTGTGAGTGTGTGTGTGGGGTGTGTGTGTGTGAGTGTATGTGTGTGTGTGTATGTCAGTGTGTGTGGTGTGTGTGTGTGTGTGTGTGTGTGTGTGGGGTGTGGTGTGTGTGTGTGTGTGTGTGTGTGTGTGTGTGTGTGTACATGCTGCGGTTTGGAGGAGAACATCAGTTAGTTTACATGGGTGAATATGAAACTGTGTTTGTGACAGCTTGTGCCTCTGAAGTGTTGATGTTCTTGGGTTTGGGTTAAACTCAAACAAGTTTGAGAAAATTCCACTTCTTTCAGCTAAAAAAACAAACAAAACAGTAATATATCTCATCTTTACTTTATCATGACTCTTTTTCTGGCCATATTTGTGTTGTTTTTAAAATCGAAACCATTGCACACTCACATTTGTCTTTACAAATGGCAGGGTGTCACTTTTTATGCTTTTCAAACTCAGCTTTATCCTCTTTGCAGAACTCCTCCTACGGGTAGCACACAAACCACCTCATTACTTTTTATTTTTTATTTTCAATCTGTGCTGCCAAATAGAGCTACGATCCAGCAGTCAATGGAGTCAATAAGATGAAGGAGATATTTCTTAACCTTTTCTGGTTGTGACACAATTTCTGAAAATTGCTGCAGCAACATCTCTCTTCATTTGGGACAATGTATTATTTCTACTCTTAAATACCGAAGGACCTCTCCACTCTCCATAACATTTATCATCTCAGGCACTAGAGAAATACACTTAGAGGCCAAACATGTCCCAGAATTTGGAAAGTTTTAAAACTTGGCTCCTGAAACGTGATGTCCTACCTAATACTGCGTCCAAGAACACTAATATCAAAAAATCAATTGCGATTTGATGCATTGTGCAGCTCCATTTGAAACGAATGAACACTAACACTCTGTTCTTTTCCCCACTTCCAGGAGCCAGTGGCGAATAGGGAGATGAAGACGTTATCTCTCCTCTCCCTTCTCCTCCTCTTTGCCTCGGGAGCCTGTGACGATGTCAAGTACATCACCAAGAGAAATTCAGGTAGGATTAAAGAAGAATGAAAGCTCCAGTCCTTCTGATCTGTTCCCCCTAAAAACTTGGGTTGCTATTCTCTCCCTGAGATCTCTCCATCCGCCTCTCATTTCTCACCGATTCTCCGTTTGTCCTCAAACGCCCCGAGGCCGTCTGTCGCCGTCTGCCTCCTCGTCATCCTTTCTCATTCAAATTCTTTAACCCTTCTGTGTCGAATAAATACCACATCTATCTTTCCCCAGTAATTTCTTCCGCTCTTGTGCTTTCCGGCGGCTCCTGAAGCGCTTAACTCGATTTAGTGGTTATCTGCTACTTGTTTGCTCCAGCCGGCCTCGCCGTGCCGCGCTATCTCCACTTCAGATAACGTCCCACTTCCGAAAGTTGTCTCTGGGAGCCCGGCCGGGTTTGTGTCCGCTCCTCCTTTTCTGCCTCGGGGTGAGCGCGCTGCCTTTTCTGCTCATTTGTTCGTGTGTGTGAGCCAGCGGATGACAGATCTGCTGATGATCTGTTATTCCTAATCGATGCGTTTCATCCGCCTGATTGGCCTGACGGTGGGAGACTTTGATTGGGGTATCGACGAGTTTGAAGGCGCCATGTTGTACTGGATGGGGGATAAGGAGCGTTGCCAATGCATTCACAGCTTCACGCCATTCAATTGTTTTTCTTGGGAACAGTTAAATAACTTTTTCTTTTTTCAAGTTAGAGGATCAGTAACACCAAGCTGTGCCAACAGCATCTGTAATTTTCTACTCCCGCTGCCTCTGCAGACGATGCTGAACGCTGAAAATGACTTAGCAGGTTTTAGCAAACGCGTCCATCAAATTAAAGCAATCCAGTTAGAACAGATTCTGCTGTAATCTAATCATATTGCGCAGTTTCTGTTGATAATAAGTTAAGAGGATTTAACAGGACACTTGCCTTCTAAACCTTTTATTGTGGTCTTGATCCTTTTCATACCAGAGTTGGTGTTTATCTTAAGACTCAAAGAAAATGACAAAGTGCCCCTCATTTCATAGATTCATTCTTGTGTCTAGTGAGATTTTGCTTTCATTTTAGGGGTTTGGATTATTGCCAGTCACGTTCAAAGAAAGACTTGAAGTATAACAGGAAGCCATGCAGACCAAACCTCAGTGTCATCACAAACCAGAAACAGCCAGTGGACTTTCAAATATACAAGTTAAATCGTAGGAATAAAAAACACTGAGATTATTTTTGCTTCCTACATGTGTGTAGAAGGTTGGAGGTCAAACCAGCTGATCTGCAGCTTCTCATGAAAACTGCAAAGTGAGAAAAGCAGTTTGACTGGAAGAAACTTGTCGACTAACCTGCGATGCCTTCTCGCTCTATGAAGGACGACTACGTTTGTTCAATCAGTTTCTATTTCCAAGGCGTCGGACACGGCCGCTGTGATGACGCTGCTCTTTCTGCGATTCACAAACTGTGTCATTTACTGCAAAGCAACAGCAAAAGAAAATTCAGCCCAGTGGAGAGGTAAAAACACAAAGAGGCTCTGAGGAAAGATGGAGGAGCGTACGAGATTATGAAACATTAAATCCATGCTAAAGACCGGCTCAGGAAAACAATCCCTCTAACTTCATTGATTTACGTTTACTTTCGATTAGGAATGCGGCAGTAGAAAATGATCACAATGTAATGAGCTGGAGGGCAGCCGCGCGGCTCAGTGATGGAGCAGACAGCAGCTGCTGAGGCTACGGTCTTCAGCGGAGCTCTCCTGGGTTCAGTGCCCGGCCCCAGGCTCTTTACTGCATGTCTTCCTCTTCTTTCTCTACATGGTTCCTCTCCAGCTACTGATGGGGACAGGCCATTAGTGCCAAAGAATCCCTAAAAGTGTTAGATTATATGCATACGTAATAACTGAGTAAAGTTTGAGGCTTCACAATCCTTAAGGTTTTAATAGACCATCCCTGACCTTCGTCATGAGCACTTTGACTAGGCCTGCCACAGGTCTGCTGTTTCCACTTCATCCCACTTTGCGTTCAGTGCAAACTTCACACTCCTTTAGTTGGTAGTAACAGCTACAAGAGCAGACAGCGCTTGTTAAAATTACGGATTACATTTTAAGGCAAACCCGCAGGATGATCCAGCTGAATGTTTGATAGACTTACAATTTTACACCTATATTCCTTTTGAAAATGTAACAAGTCGTTGCATCATTACAGTCTTTTTGGACTTCAGGACTTGAAGAAAAGATTGATTCCTTCCACACTTCCTTTGCTACAGTGTTGGTGTTTCTCTTTCTTTTTTTGGGGGATTTTCTCGCCCCTCTCTCCTCCCTGCTCGTCTCTGGCTCGCTCTCCCGTCATTGTGCTCCTGTGTGGGTGAGCTGGTGGGCGTTCTTGTTTGCCGTTTACCGCACCGCGGCGCGCATACGTCTGCAGGCACGGCTCTACGTGTGAAATCCCGGCCTCTTGCCACCCCGACCGCGAGTATGTGCATATGTATACATCCTGGTTCTAAGAGTATATTTGAGCAAACTGCCTGAGTGTGCTGCCGCGTCTGCTTTCTGTATATGTGTGTGTGTGTGTGTGTGTGTGTGTGAGTGCGTGTACGGGATGTGTGGGAGAGGTGTGTACTCGGCAATTATGTGATCAGAGCAGAGCCAAGTGGACATTTACGTGGGCGAACCAAAGATAGGCTGTTAGATCTGTTCTTCCACTACTTGTATTCGTGCGTGCGTGTGTGTGTATGGCACTGGCCTCCATATGGATAGGAACTACCATTTGCTCATGTCAGTCTCCCTGCTGTGCTGCATTGCTTTGATGCAGCACCTGCTGCAGTAAAAGCTGGCACATTGCGATAAGCTGGTGGAGAGCGGGGTGGAGTTGCACGGCCCGAGACTCTGAAGCCACGTTTGGACAGATTAAGGCCGTCTGGAGCTTATATAGCTGTTCGGTAGGAAGGAAATCTGGGAATACATTATTGTGTGGCCTTTATGTGACCCCAGCTATACAAACTTTTTGGCTACAGACGCTGCAGATCAAAGGGAAGTTGATTTCAGAATGGCACGTTTTCTGGTGAAGCAACAGGCTTAAGATGCGGCTCAGACTCTAACGCAGCCCGGTTTGATCTTCATTGTAAATGTTTTGAGTCTTCCTTCTGCATTTCTTTACGTGCAGCGAGATTAAATCCAACAAAATAACAATAATAAAAAGCAATATTGTTGGACACAGCAGCTGAATACATGAGATGGAATCGTTTCTGTCCGCGTTCAGCTGGAGAGAGTCGCTATGTGCTGCCTGGTGATGTCACTTTTCTGACTTATTAAACAATATGACAGGCCAGGTCAAACGTTGTTTGACAGCAAAATACTTTAAAATGTCCGACCACTCGGGTGAAAAGTAACGACTAATTAGCCATTCTGCAAAGAGAAAGAGAGAGCGGATTAAGTTTAAAAAAAAATCTCTACTTTATTGCTTTTTGGTGTGTTTGCAGCCTCCTTTCACGGCTTCACACATTCTAGCGACGGTTAAATGAAAAGCAGCGACATCACAGCCCGACCGTCGGCTCCTTCCCTAAAACTAATGAGCAGCAGAAGCGAACAGGAGCTGCTGGCTTCCTCTGAGAGCGACACGTTGTCGGCTCTGTCTGGACGGAGCGTGGAGGCTCTGTGTGCGTTCACGTTACCGTTCTGATAAGTGTTGCTTTAACCGCATACAAAGATCTCACACTGTGATGACTGAAGGTGAAAACTTTTAACTTTGTTGTTTCTACCAATTCCACACCACAATCATGAGTATTGAGGTCGTATTTTGACTTTGTGTTGCGTTTAGCTGAACAATGACGGGATGTAAAATGATATTAAGATATTACTTTGTTACCCTTTTAAAAGTTTCTCTTAATTTCTCTTAATTAAAACCTAACTGAATGATTTTGCAAGTGAACATTTTAAAACCGACACTCGTCATTTCATGGAGCAAATGTTTTAAAACCCTGTTTGCATGGGAAGATTTTGTTTTTCAAACAGGTTTTTGTTTTCAAAAGCTCCTGTGTCCACATGAGACAGTTTCCACAAATGTTTCATCTAAATGGGCGCAACAAAAACATCATCAGACCACCCAGGCCTGAAGGTGGAGCTAAACATGGAGTCTGCACCCGAGGTCAGCTATAAACACAACTAGCAAACAAGAATGGCAATTAGAAAGTAGAACAACTCCGTTAGCAAAATGAAACCAGGAAACTGTTTATTGATTTAGTTCGGTGCGCCACAGCAAAGGGAAACATAACGTACAAAAACCGTTGGAGAATAACTCAAAACCACTCATATTTTTAATTTTTCTCACTCTCCGTGTCAACTATGTTGCGCGCAGACTCGTTGCCATAGCAACGGCCTGATTAAAAAAAATGCAACAAATGTGTTGAGATTCAACACCGAAACAACAAAAAAAACAAACCTTTTCTACGCACGAAGACCCGGACATTCAGTCAGGCTTTATGTTTCTTTTGCGATTATTAATAAGTGATTGTCTGAATATTAATCTAAGTTCCTGCAACTGATGATCCGCCAGAGAGTTTGTGTGTAGATCACCGTTTATTTTTTACTTTTTATTACTGAATTCTGCAGAACATCTACACATTAAGGTCTTCAAAGTCAAGCTGGCATAACTCACCTACTTCCCTTTTCCTGCATGACCTAAATGACATGTGCAGAATGACATTCTCCGTGACCGTGTGTTTACGCCTGTGATGAAATAAAACACAAAACCCTGTTCTGTGTTTACCACCAGCACCGCCTAACATTTCTCTTCAGCGTGACTAATTACCACAAGGGCCTTTGTCACACAAAGAAATCCACTTGACTTTTCTCCTCGCAGCACTCACCGTGTCTGCAGTGGAGTGGCTGAATGTGAGTGTGTTTGCTCAGCGCACAAAGCAACCGACACTCGTATGCATGGCAGTGTGTTAGCGTGGCTGCATGAGGACAAGTCCCTGTTGGTGTGGAGTGTTCCCCAGACCCTCTCTTCAGTCACAACAATCGCAATAGAAAGCCC